ATTACTATTACTATTACTATTACTACTACTATTACTATTACTATTACTATTACTATTACTGCTACTGCTACTGCTACTGCTACTGCTACTGCTACTGCTACTGCTACTGCTACTGCTACTGCTACTACTTCTGCTACTTCTGCTACTAGCACTACTAGCACTACTAGCACTACTAGCACTACTAGCACTACTACTACTACTACTACTACTACTACTACTACTACTACTACTACTACTTACCACCACTACTACCACTGCTACCACTACTACTACTACGACGACGACGACTCCTACTCCTACTCCTCCAGCTGCTGCTGCTGCTACTACGACAACAGCTACTACACCTGCTACCACCACCACCACCACGACGGCTACTACTGCCACTGCCACTGCCACTGCCACTGCCACTGCCACTGCCACTGCCACTGCCACTGCCACTGCCACTGCCACCACCACCACGACGGCTACTACTGCCACTGCCACTGCCACTGCCACTGCCACTGCCACTGCCACTGCCACTGCCACTGCCACTGCTACTGCTACTGCTACTGCTAGTGCTACTGCTGATGCTGATGCTGATGCTGATGCTGATGCTGATGCTGATGCTGCTACGACGACGACGACGACGACGACTACTATTACTACTACTACTACTACTACTACTGCTACTACTGCTACTACTGCTACTACTATAACAACTACTACTACAACTACTACTACTACTACTACTACTGCTGCTACTGCTACTACTACGACGACTACTGATACTACTATCCTTCTCTATCAACAGATACGAGATCACCTCATTTGGTCAACTATGCTACGAACACTTATTTAGAGGCAAACGAGATAGGGGCCGCACACCGCAAGACGTGACCTAGGAACAACTTTCAAATAAACGCTGTCAGTTATTTGCGCCTAGATGTTTTCGGGTTAATTTCCAATTGTCCTGAAGAAGTGCTGTGATCCGAGGTCGTTCAATCAAGTACCGGTTGGGGCCGTTGGGGTGTGCTACCTTCTCCAGTCCTTGACCATGTCGAAGTGGTGCACGTTGTCCGTGTGCAGGATGGTGGCAATACAGACTTTTCGCACCTCCTTCTGCTCGTCTTTGGAGGCCTGCACGAACCTCAACACATGTGGCGACACTGGTGGCTCCATTCTCGACTTTCCACAAGTCAGCACAGACTATGCCTGAGGTCCAGACACGTCCTTGTCCGGGTCTCTGCACAGCTGAAACAAGGCAGCACAGTGCATGTTTTCCAAAGGGGACTTGTCGTTGTACCGCAGGGCCAGCTCGTGCTTCGTCTCCACTAGAAACTGATTCGTTCTGCCGAAATGGCCGAGGTCGTGGCTGAGCGCAGCCACTAGCAGAGCATACTGCTCCAGTTCGCTCGTCCACTTTCCAGCTTGCGTGATTTGCTGCAGACGGAAAACCGTAAAGCACACATCCACCGCATGCTGAAAGCAATGATATGGCACATCCTTGGGCTTGGGGCTTGACTGGAGCACACCCGGAGCAACACGTCTAACTCTTGCCGTAAACTTACACCATCTTCAACCGCCTTAGCATAGTGGTAAAATGATGCTTCTGGTAGCGTCGAACAAGCGTCCTTGTAGTTGGCCTCCACTGTTTGGACGAAGAGGAGGAAGCGATCTTCAGCCGTGTACTGGGCGGCGAGGCCGAACTGCGACAAAAAAAACATGTAGTGCACGTAGCCGTGGATTTCCTCCAATGTGGACTCCAGGAAGTCAAGGTTCCAGTTCTGTGTCCAGGTCGCGTGGAGGTCGGCTTTAGTGTTCCTTTTGCCACCAAGCTTGCTCTGGGCACTGGACTGGAGGACTTGCACATTTAGCATATCGATCAGTACAGCCTTGTTTTCGGCATTCATGGCATCGAGCTCTGCTGGGGTGTAAGCCTTATTGGAGCTCTCGGCAAGACTGGCCAGACGTGCGAGCTTTTCGAGGATGGCCTGGATCAGCTCAATCTCAGATGCTCCTCCCTGTTGGTCTTGGAGCTCCTCGTCATCCAACTCGGCACCCTCTGTGCCTTCCGTCTGCTTGGCGAAACGATCAAAGATATGCGCAGCGTTCTCGCGTACATGGTGCAACATGCCCTCCAAAGGCTTTACCAGCTTCCTGTCCACGACGTTCTGCAAGTCGAAGCTTGTGACTGCCATCAGCAGCACAATGAAAAGGATCGTGCCAACTTCCACGAGGGCATCCATTTGGTTCGGGCCAGTGAAGTCGAAGATGACAGCTACGTCACAACCCTCGGGGCGTTGAACTCTGCAGCTTTCGAGCAAGACCTTCAAGGAGTTCCTCGTCCGCACAGGATTCGCAGCAAGGGTTCGATCATCCCCAAACCCTCTGACAAGGAAGGGGCTGTAATTGACAGGCTCATAGAACTGGACCATCTGATCAATGGCTTCTTGCAAAGCGCCGGCTAGCCCGTCTCGCTGCTCCCTGAGGTAGCTCTCCTCTAACTTCTGTGGCCACAGAGTCAGGGACATGTCTTCCGTGGGGTACAAGGGGTATGCCGAAAGAGGCACGACCTCAGCTGGCCGGTCGCGACATTCCGCAGTACACTAAAGAGACTTATTCTTCGCGCCCCGAGACAACTGTGGGCCTGGCCATCACCATAACAATGACGATCACAGAGACCCGGGTAGACAAGAGCACTACAAGCCTTCTGGCCAGAACTTTGGCTTCCACCCGACTCGTTTTCGCTGCTGATCTGTAGAACATACCTTGAGTGGCGAGGTGCTCAGACCCTACGAACACTTGTATGAGCATCTCTTCGGCACTTCCAAGCACAGTTGCTAACGCATTTCACGAGCTTGATGAGCCTGCCAATCCTTGCCCCCAGCTTGGCTGTTCTAGCTGTTCTGAGGACAACCTCAGGCGAGGGTGTTGGACACTTGCAGGGCAGTCTGCGAAGTCCCAAATGTCGGGTAGGCTTCTGACGGTGTTCGAATTCAAGTACTGGCCAAGTAGGAAGGAAATCTCAAATGCCATCGAAAGGGTTCCCAAGAGGTCCATCCTTGGGTCGAGTGAAGCATCTGTCTTGATCGCCAAACGATCCCCTTACTCCACTCTCTCGGCTGCCGGCCAAAAGAAGAACGAGAATCTGTACATCTCGTCCTGCTGGGGACAGCTTGCGAGTGAACTTCAAGCATTCTGCAAGAGAGAGAATCAGAAAACTGAGAAAGTGTGTGTGTGTGTGTGTGTCCGAGAGCAGGAGGCCGACCATCTCCATGGCGAAAGCAAAAGCGATGAGGCACATGATCACATCCAGGATGAGCACCTTAGTGCCGCTTGTTTCTGGCTTGAGTCTTGATGCCTGGGAGAGCTTTCAGAAAGCGCATGCTGTTCTGGTGCGGCACCGTTGGATCGTCTGGGAGGTTCATCAATGTCACAATGCCCGGTCCAAACAAGGCTATCGTGAGACAGATGTAAAGCCTTAGCCAATTTGCCAAGCCATGCTCTGTTTTGGATTTGATGCAAGATGCAAGCGACTGCTGCTTGCAGCTGACACGCGTCCATCTGACAGCAAGCATCCTCATAACGCGACGTCCAAGTGCACGAGATGCCTAAAGCAAACACCATGCACTCTCGGCTTCGGCAGTCACTGCACCATGGAGAACTGCCAGGGTCACTGCCCTTAGCTTCGGATCGCTGGCGAGACGTCCTACCCGTATGCTAGGCATGCTGAACGCATCGCACTTTGCGGCGCTTGCTGTATCCTGCAGTGTCTGTGCTCTCGAAATACTGGTTGCTCACAGCTATCGCCACGTCCTGCCAAATCTGCAGGGTCTGCGAATCAAACAGGGCACCACCGCTCGACACATCCAAACAGCAAGCATGAACATCATTGCCTGCTGTAGTGAAGGCCTTAGGAATCGATGCTGGAGGCTGCCATTCTGCTGGACCAAGACTCACAAGAATAGCTGCGAACAGGCTGCTCTTTCTGTGCCGCAGCATCATCTGTAGCCTTCTCGCTGGAGAAAAGCGGCAGATCGGCATCACGCCAAGTCCAAGAGTCCCCGAATAAAAGAGACAAGTAGGGGGGGGAGGGAGGGAGAGAGAGAGAGAGAGAGGGAGAGGAGGCCTCTTCCGGCTGAAGCACTGCCGGCCTTGGCAGAGAACTTTGCACTGCGAAGACGAAGCTACCCCGTAGGACTCAATTTTCACAGCCTCTCCCCGTTCCGAGTGCCCGACTCGTCCGGCAAGGCGTTGAGTGTCTCAAGCATTGTGCCGCACCAGTCCGAGTGTGCTCTCGTCTCCTGCACAGGAAATAACCGCGAGGTCAAGTCTTCTCAAGCCAGTCGGGGAGTCCTCTTCGAGACTGTTCCTTTCTGCTGCGATCTTTCGCATGCAGGCTTTTACTTCAGATTTCGGCACCTCAACTTGGAACTGGCGACACGACTGACATGCACGTTTCAACCCATGATGCCCAGCGAAGGTCGTCCTGCCTCTAGGCCGACCTCAAGTTCTTGAAGGAGCTTGTGGCTTTGCACAAGATGTTCCTGCGTGGTGGCATCATCGTTCCAGCATGTTCCAGTTGTCAAGATCCAACTCTGCTCGGTCCTCGTGGGCCCTCTGCAGCCTCTTGAAAACGTTGGTGAGGATTTCCTGCCTGAGTCGCGGCAAGGCTTCGTTGACAGGTGATGGCCCAGTGGCATCCAGTGGCATCCAGGCCGCGGAGAGAGGGAAACCACATCATCGTCTGAATGGGCGACCGCCGCGTCTGTTAGCCGCGTCGGTAGCCCATCTGAATCAGCACATGTCTGTAAATAGCTGCAAGAGGCTGCAAGTGGCCGACCACCGAGGTGCCCGCTTGGGAGCATGGAAGAGCTCTCCGCTTTGCACGCATCCTCGACATGCGAGCTGAATTTACCCCGGCCGCCCTATCTTCAAGGGGAATTGAACGCCGGGTCACTGATGCCGCTCCGGATGCCAAGCGCTCTCCCGGTCCAACACATCGCTCGCAAGAGGCCAAAGAGCCGCCCATCAGAGCATGGGGTCCCAGCTTCCTAGGACCTAAGACTTAAGAGATGCGACTGTTAAGGCCCTACGCAGCTCGAGGTCTTCTGATCTCAATGCATCACCACGCCGTTCTCTCTCAGTTCTCTAGGCGGCTTCTGCCCGTGACTTGAAAAACATCCAAGACGTTGAAAACAACATCATTCTAACTAACCACCACCTGTTTCGACTTGTGGTGCACCCAGGCTCGAGCTGAAACATCACACAGGGAGACCGTGCTGGCCGTTGGACTGCATCTGTCTTCATCCCGACTGGCTGGACGCAGAAAACGCATCAGAGGTCATTCCTTTACCCGCCGGCATACCCTAAACCTCCTCGAGGTACAGCGGCTGCCATCCAAAGAAATCAGCATTAAAAGTGTCCGAGAAAACCGCAGAGGCCAGCGAGTGTCATGGCAGTGCTCGAAGCTTCCAGGAGGGAAGGGCATCAAGCGCTGCCCTACATGCTAAGACAGAGAATCCCCTTTGAGGATGCATTCCTCCAGCACGTGGAAATATGACTATACTCAAGATGCTGAGGGGTGTGGCAGCTAGATGGCTTCACCTCTATGCCACCAGGTCTGTGATCGAAAAGGATGAAAATTCGACTTCCTTCCTGCCCAAAATGTCTGAGCACTGAGGCTCTTCGTCCTCCGATTTCTCGCACAAGCCGCTGTCAACTTCGTCAGGGCCATGACCATCCAGCCAGGTCATTGTCCGAGATTTCCAATAGCTAACGATGGGAGTCATTCCTGCCTCCAAAGTCTTTCCCAACAGGTGAAGCATATCGTCACCTGCGAGATCTGGTCTGTGGCTTTTGGGACGGGCCGGACAATGTCTTGCTTCACAACAGCTGGTAGGGACGAGAGGCAGCCCGAGCACCAGTACTACTGTATTGCCAGACACAAGAAGGGAGAAGGCAGGAGTGGTAGCAGTAGCGGTTGTCGTTGCAACAATCGTCTGTGGTAGCAGCAGCAGCAGCAGCAGCAGCAGCAGCAGCAGCAGCAGCAGCAGAAGCAGAAGCAGAAGCAGTAGTCGTAGTAGGGGGGGGGCACAAAAAAACAGATGTGCCTCTCTCTCTCTCTCTCTCTCTCTCTCTCTCTCTGTCGCGGACTCAGAGGTCTGTCAGTCGCGCGGCCGTCTAACACTTCGTCAGACACCGA